GAAGGGAGAAAGAAAGACAGAAACTCACTTTAACAATGTCCTGCTAGAGAAGGGGGTTGGACTGGATGACCTCCAGGTCCCTTCCAGCCCTGGATTGCTGTGCTCTTTCAAGATATCCTCTGAAGCTGCATCTAGTGCTGGTGGTCCTTCCTCCCCCTCCTTTTCCCTTCCTTCCTCCCTCCCTCTCTTCTCCTTTCTTTCTTTCTTTCTCCCTTCCTCCCTTTTTTATTCCCATCCCTCCCTTTCTTTCTTTCTTTCTTAGCAACAGGCAGATTGGAGATCTCTGGTTTTCTTCCTGACAGCATCCCTCTCATCATTGATAGCTGCAGCCTACATTAAAAGTTACAGTCACACCTTTCGCTCCCTCATTTTGCTTTCATGGGCAATGGTCCTTCTGCAAAAAGAAAAGGTGGCATTTGGTGGGCATAAATTTGATGGGAGATGACTTTCAAAATTATAGCAAGAATTGCAGATCAGCTTCTTCCTACTTACTCTAAACCATAGAACAATCCAACAGCATCTATAGCAAATGCAGTAGTGGCAAAATTACGATACAGCGGTGTCATCAGATATGTGACATTTATGTACAGGTAGCCTTAGATCTCACAGCTGGATTTGACAACTCAGTTCTTAAGTAAAACATTTGTTAAGTGAAAGTGCTTTCAGACCTGTAAAGATTGTGTGTGCGAGAGAGAGGGGGGGAGGGGGAGGGAGACAGAGACAGAGAGAACACACATATAGCATAAACCAGACAGGAAATGATATCCTTTAAATACCAGGGTGTTTAACTTGGGGGGGGGGATTGAGTGGAATATGATAGCACTTTTAAGTACCTAGTGGAGTGCTACACAAAAGGTGAAAACTTCTGTCAGTTTAGAAAGCAGAATAATGGTCTTGAGGTGTAGGAAAGCAGATTCTGGTTAAATGTCAGAAAAAAACTTCTAAGAAGAAAAGTTTGAACATGGAATCAATTATCGAGCTGCTGGTGAGCCTCCTTTTGCTGCAAGTATTCAAGCAGAAGCTGGATAGAGATTTCTTGGGAATCCAATTTGTCTTCCTGCCCTGAATAGTGAAGTTAAAATCATAGTTTGAACTGTCCCCTTCCAGTTTAAAGATTCTGTGAAATAACTCTGCAGGAGTTCGACAATAGCAAGAGAGAAAAACTCAAGAATGATCAAGGGACGAGTAGAGAGAAACAGTGTCAGAATGTAAGTGAGTGAAAATAATGGTTTCAATACACACATTGTTATACTTTTTTACCTTTAGGGAAAAATGTGTAACAGTAAAATAAACTGCTTATGTTAACTGTTGTTGATAAGTTTGATAAATGGTCAGATATGGGGATCAGATGTATGTCTAAAATTATCATTTATTTATTTATGTATTTATTAATAAGTACCTCCTGCCAAACTGCAACTTCAAATGTGACAGGAACGCTATTAAATACATAATTAGAAATTAATGATTAATTAATGTAAATGAAATGAAAAAATATTTTCCCTCCTGGATTCCACTCAGCATGCCATTCAAAGGTTATTTAAGTTTACAGGAAAAAATTGCATTATTCTAAGTGTTCAGTGATTCAATGGTTGGTGCAAAATCATCCCGATAATATTAGATTTCAAAATGGACTGCCATGTTTCTAGTTCAGCACATTTAAGTATTTAACAGTACAAC